CACATCACCATTACAAAGTGCAATGGGGAAAAACACGATAACATGGACATCTCATTAGCAGAGGAACTTAACCACTCTTTGCCTGCTTGAGAAACTGCAGTCACCCCACCATGCACACCGCCCTGCCCACAGCCTCCTCTGAGCACAGCCCTCACACATTTAGCCTCCAAGAACACCAGGTTCGCAATGTGTTCAGCGCAGTTAATCAAAGGAAAGCTGCTGGCCCTGACGGAATACCTGGTAAGAGTGCTCAAAGCCTGCGCTGTCCTGCTCCCTCCTCAGTTCACCAGACTATTCAACCTCTCCCTGTCACATGCCACTGTCCCTGCCCTCCACTCCGCTCTCCATCACCTGGAGAATCCTGGGACATCAGTAAGGATGCTCTTCATTGACTTCAGCTCGGCCTTCAATACCATCATCCCAGACATTTTTATAGACAAGCTGGTAAACTTGGACTCTCCCCCCCCACATGTGTATGGAACTTTCCCACAGACTGTTCACAATCAGTCATGGTTGGCAACCAGAGATCATCACCCACTCGTTGCCTGGCGGGGTCGTATGACTGGACCTAAGGAGCCGTTAAGAAGAGTGGGGGATCGTTAAGCGCCATCAGCATGTGCAACCAGAGATCTCACCCTGATCAGCTGGTCACACAGGTTGCTGAGTCCACTCCTACACACCATCTACACTAATGACTGCACCCCCATGCACCCCTGCAACATCATCTTCAGCTTCTTCCCGTGGGCTGTCAGAACTCGTAATGCAAACTAAGAGTGTGAACAGACTTCTCCCATACAACCATTCTGCTATTGATCAACTATGTTGCTGCCATCCTGTTACGTCCCCCCCGAAGGGGTCTAGGCATGCGAGTGAGGGGACCAGTAACAAATGAGTCCAGAACAGAATGAAAGGAAAACAGACAGGTGTTCTTAGTAAATAACATAGTCTTTATTATAGATAATCATAACATAAGGAGCCGGCAACGCCGTATTACCAATAACATGCCGAAAAAGGGAAAAAAGGTTGCAACAACAAAGAACACAACAACCAAACAAAAACTCCACACCACGAGGAGGCACTTCCAGGGGCCCACAAGCTCACCC